ACAATTGACTAGTGAGTAGGGGCAAGGGGCAAACAAAATCTTGATTGTAGTGTTTGCCAATTTCTGTGGTATAAAAACTCCAATGATGGCTGAGTTCAGGCAACCAATGGGGTGCCACTGAACACATAGTTGGGAATAGATGTGAAGAATCAGCTCTAATGAATGAGTGTGAACAGACTCCAGAAGACCATTGGTGGTAACCTGAGTTTTAGTTCTAACTCTGCTACTAGAAGGTCTACTACCTTAGTAGCTTAACCTTTCTGCATCTCAATTTCCTCATGTTGACAATGTCAACCTCATAATGTAAATGAGTGGAAAGATGTCCCATGTTCATGGATCACAAGACTTGATATTGTTAAGATGTCAATACTACCCAAATCTATCTATTGATGAATGCATTCTTGGTCAAAATCTTAACGTTTTCTTTACAACAATAGAAGAAAATGAATCCTCAACTTTATATGGAATGGCAAGAGGCTCAAAAAGCTAAGGCAAAAAAAAATAAAGCAATGATGGTGCTTGACTATCAAAAGATATAGCATTGGGGGTCTTAATGGCTTGAAGATAAATAAGCAGCCATCTAGCTGAGAAGCAACAAAGCCTGCATGGAAGAAGCATACCAGCCTGTGTGATCACGAGGATTGGATAGGATAGGATCAGGTATCAGGCATCAAAGAACAAAACATCAGATCATTGTGAATGTGGGGGGGTATGGAGTGGAGACTCAAAGCCCATCTGTAGGCAACTGGACATCTCCTAACAGAAAGGTCGCAGGGAAGAGATGAGCCAGTCAATGTGTAGTACAGCACCGATGAAACATACAACCTTCCTCTAGTTCTTTAATGTTTCTTCCCCTCCAGCATCATGACCCCAATTCTACCTTACAAATATGGCTAGACCAGAGAATGTACACTGGTGCAGATCAGAGCTGGAAACAAAGGGAAGCCAGAACTGATAAACTCCTCAGGACCAATAATGAGAGTAGAGATACCAGGAGGGTAAGGAGAAGGTGGGGGAGAAAGTGGGAACCGATCACAATGTTCTTCATATAAATCCCTTCCCTGGGAGATGGACAACAGAAAAGTGGGTGAAGGGAAACATCAGACAGTGTACGACATGAAAAAATAATAATAATTTATAAATTATCAAGGGTGAAGGAGGGAGAGGAAAAATGAGGAGCTGATAGCAAGGACTCAAGTAGAAAGAAAATGTTTTGAGAACAATGATGGCAATAACTGTACAAATGTGCTTGACACAATGAATGTACGTATGAATTGTAATGAGTTGTATGCGTGCCCTATGAAAAGATTTAAAAAAAAGCTGAAGTAATGTTGAAAGCAAAGAACAAGTGAGAAAAGAGTTATACTTCTTGATTTTAATACATACCTTACAGCTGCAGTCATGAAAACATTCTGGTAACAACAGACAAATAGAGCAACTGAATAAAATTAATAGTCCAGAAACAAACCCACACATCTATGGGCAACTTATTTTTACAAGGCTGCTAAGTCCATTCAACAAAGAAAAAAGTGTCTATTAAGTAAATGGTGCTGGGAAAATTGGATTTCCACATGCAGAAAAATGAAACAGGATCCAGGCTTCATACCATACACAAAAACAAAGTCAAAATGGATTAAGGACCTAAATGTGCAAAATGAAACCACAAAATTCTTTAGAAGAGCAAGCAGGACCAATGCTGTCAAGCCTAGCTTTCAATAATGGAGTGTCTAAGAGAATAACAAAACAACAAACAACAATAGACAAAACAAACAAATGGGACATCACACAAATGAACATTAGTTCATCAAAAGACATTACCAAAAAGTAAAAAGAAGAATATCTTCAGAAACCATATATTCCATTAAGAATCTCATAATGAAAATATATATTTAAAAACTTCAGCAACTTAACAACAAAAAGATAGCCAGCGCAGTTATAAAATAAACAAAGGATGTGAATAGACATTTCATTAACTGTGACATTCAAATGGCCACCAGACACACGAACAAATGCTCAGTGTCATTGGCCATCAGTGAAATGCAAATCATAATGAGGTCCCATACCACTCTGACTAGGATGGCTGTGACAATACCCAAAACACAAAACCAGAAAATAAATATTAGTAACAAATATTCCAAGAAACTGGAATCGCTTTCCTTTGCCGGTGGGCATGTAAAATCATACAGTCACTGTGGAAAATGTGGGGCACTTCCTCAAAAACCTAAAAACAGAACTCCCATATGACCTTGAAACTTCACTCCTGTATATCAACAAATGATTTGAAAGCAGAGACTTATATACAAGTGTTCATTGCAGCACTATTCACAATAGCCCCCAAACAGAAACAGCCTAAATGCTCGTCAGCAGATGAACAGATAAGCAAAATGTGGTACATCCATATAACGGGATATTACAAAGCCAGTCGAGAAATGAAAACTTGGTGCCTGCTACAATACGGTCTGAGTGGGAAGAATTGATGCTGAGTGAAGTAAGTCAATAACAAAGTGATAAATATTATATGATATCACTTATATAAAAGGACAAAAAAAGGCAAATGTACAGAGATCAAAGTTTATTTATTGGTGGCTACCAGGAGTGAGAAGTAAGGGAGAAAGGGTGGTTAATGTTGATGGCAATAGTGCCTTGATAGGGCTGCACAGATGATTATTATAGTTTTTGTCAATAATTAATACAACCGTATGAAACGGAATTGGCAAAAGTTTTTGATGCTCCCTTGTATACACAATAACAGCAAAGATTAGCTACTAAGGCTGCTTATGTTCAATCGAAAGCCTTATGGATTTGGTTTCTTGGTTTCGAAGCTTAGGGTCATGGATTCATGGGATATTTAAGTTCATTTGCTTAAAGGCATGCTTAGTGCCTTTAAGTGCTTAGTGCCTCTGTCCTACCTCCTTGGTGTATTCTGAGTGTCTGGGGTCTTAAAAGCACTACAATTGATATCTAGTCACCTGGAGCAACCGAGGAAGGAGTGTCAGGAATAAGAGGATATTAAATGTGCTGCTTCATTGCTTCTATAAATGAGTGTCTCCTTTGCCACAAAACCAGAAGAACTGGATGGTGCTCATGTACCATCAATGAAAATTTTGATCAGAGATTCCATAGTAGAAACTTGATCAGAAGGAGGAAAATGCAGAATTAAAATTCAAATGCTCATGGACTCCAGACCTCCTGGAGCATGAAGGTTGGATGAAACCTTGAAATTAACACCCTGAAATAATTCTTAAAACTTAAAGGAAAAATATTCCTGGAAATTATCTTAAAACCAAGCAATAGTTTAGTTTAACTAATAAGGAATATGTCTGTCTTCAGTATTATGCTCTTTTAAGAACTATCTATATGTGAGCAAATTGACAGCAGCAACTCAAAAGATTAGATAGGAACCCTAGTGGCATGTGAGTTTATGTTAATTGAAGAGGACCAGAAAAAGAGCAGCTACACTACTCAAAGAATGTAACCAGCACCATTAAGTGGTGCATGTAGAAACTGTTGAGTTGGCTGCGCATACATTCAAAAGCAACAACAAAATAAATCAAATTATAAATAATTATTTTTACATGCATATAAACCAACCTCACAAGTTTTCTTTAGTTAAATGAAACTCATTTATCTTCATGTACTATCTCTTCCATCTCTGATCCATGGTACAGTTGGCCATATTTATGGCTTTTACACTTTTCCATTTCACACTAAGTCTTGTGAACAGCTTGGAGACAAAAGAATCCTAGAGGAGGATGGTTCTTAGAGGCGAGAAGACAACACAGGTAGACCTCAGCCAGGGTCTAAGGTTCAAGGCTGTGACCACTCCAGATTTTCTATACAGGAGAGGTTTCTGGATGGAAATCTGTTTGGAAAGTGGGGCCTGAGAATTATTCATACATATCTTTATTTTCATTGTCTACTTTGGGGGGGGGGTGGCAAAGAGTGTCCAAGGTCAATGCAATCTTCGTGGGGTTTTTTTCTTCCTACAATTTGCCAGAATCTGCGTGGCGAGGAAGCGTACCTAGTGAGCCTAGGGTCTGTCAATTCCTCCAGGTCTGATGAGTCTAAAGAGAGGAACTCTGTTCTCAGTTTCTCTGTGGACTGTCTGTGTGGAAGGCCCTGGATGGTGCAAATGATCAATGCTCTGGGACGCTAAACACAAGGCTAACAGTTGGAATTCATCCAGAGATGCCTCAGAAGAAAGATTTCCTGATCTACTTCTGGAACATTAGCCATTGAAAACTCTTTGAAGTACTGTTCAACTCTGACCTACATAGGGCCGTCACGAGTTGGAATCAAGCCAATGGCTCCTGGGATCTTAATGCCATTGCCATTTATTGGTGTCTGGGGACATAAGTTGCTCCCATCATCTTCTTAGATATGTCTGTGAATTGAGAGGTCACTTGTCAATAAAATCCCAAGCTACAGCTTGGTGATGCCTTGACCCAAAGTGGGTATTTGGGGCGTTGCAACCTCTTTCTTTTGACTCAGTGTAACTGGAGGTAAATACACGGAGGTGAGTGAAAGAAAGAAAAATAGCTGGGTCTCGGCTGTTCTCCCCAGTGCTTCAAGGCCATGGAGCCAGAGGAAGAGGGGTCCTGGCTGAGGTGTCCTCCTTGTCAGATTACCCACCAGACCAGGTAAGTGCAGGCTTTCTTGGGCTTATTTACTAATCTGTGGTAAACAGCTTCACATTTTTTTTCACCACATCAAAGGTTTCTTTCTGGGTATGACTGGCATCTGGCTCCCTTCTAAAAGCAAAGCACCATATCACAGAGTCAAAGCCTTTGTCAAATTCACAATTCCTGACAGTGTTCACCATAGATAAGTAAGTCCAAGGAAGCCCATGCTTAGCTTACTTATTGGGAACTCCGCCCTTGGATGTCCTGTTAGAGCAGAATGAAAGCGAAAACCCTCACCCAGCCATTGAAGAACCAGCCAAGAGGGGGACTGGGGCCCTAAGTGCAAAGGGGTTTAGTAAGGTATAAGAGACATAATACCTTGTGCTTCCGGAGGCTGCCAGGACTGGTGGGCGTAGAGATAGGAGACTGCTTAGACTTGGGGGTAGAGAGCTGGCTGCTGGAGGTTCCGTTTGCTGGTCCAAGGCAAGAGAAAAGGAAGGGGTCAACATCAACAGCACACAAAGGAACAAGTCATCTTTCCCCTCCAAAGACAGAAGGACATTCAAACAAAGGACACAGACAACAGTCAGTAATTTGATGAGTAGAAGGTGAAAAATGCATTCCTTGGACGGGTGAGAGCTGCAATCCTCACTTAATTAGATCCCGATGTGGCATAAGGTGGTCAACCTCCCACCCTTTCTCTGAGTGCTTCTTAATCTCAGGGGTCTGTTTCTTTTCAATTCCCCCTTCTCCCCCCACCCCCCATTTGTCAATTCCTAGGCTTGACCCTAACCGCATCTCTGGAGGGAGCCAGGGAATGGATTATTTTGCTTCTATTTTAGAGGTGAAAAAAAGAGGGAGGCACAGCTCCATGATGTGAATCTCTACTTCAAGGGGGGAGGAATGGCGGTCATTTAGAGCAGGGTGCATGTCCTTTGCCGGAGGCTGTTGTTGCAGTTGAGGGACAGCCCACTGTCAATCATCCCCCTCCCCCATCTCTGCCTGGGCTTCTCTTTCCCTGCTTCTCTCCTCTGAAGTGAAAGCGCAGATGGAAAGATCAAGAGAGGCTAGTCAGGAAAAAGAATGCCAGAGAAAGTGAGAGAAAACCATAAAGCCAAGTACAAAGGTTCCCACAGCACCACTGATCAGGAACGGAGCCAGGTCGGGCTCCTCGTCCTTTATCTCCCGTCAGTCAAATGCTGGGAGTGAGTTGTCACAAGAGACCCACTGTTTATGGAGATGATTTCATATTTAACATCTTCATATCCCAGGGTGTTTTGCAGGGTTTTAGATTCCCTGACTAATGAGCTATTTATTATCCAATCCTGAAAAAGAAATGTAGTGCGTTGAAATGGAACAATTAAGCTGCTTTTGAAGGGGAGTCGTGTTCAGATATCTCATGCTAAAGTAATTTTTTTAAAAAAGGTCGAAGGACCTAACAGCATTAAAAAAGAGGTGGGGAAGAATCCAGCCTGCTTACAGATGAGCAAACAGGACCTTGCAGTTCAAGCATAGGTTAGCAAGCGATGAGTTCTGGGAGAAGGGGCTTGGAGACTACAGGTGAAGACCTGACTCTGGACTCCTGCGGTGGCACATTAAGTAGTTGGTGTTTTGAGTTCCAATGAAAAGCACGGAAAGACTTTAAGCCAAGAGGGAGAGGATCAAATGGTTTAGCCAGCCACTGTGGTGAGACTGGAGAAAGGGGAGGGAAAGGAGAGAAGCAAAGACATCGGGTAGAAGCCAATTACCTTATTCCAGGGGAGAGGCAATGGGGGTTTTAGGTAAGATCGTGGGAAGGGGAAGGATGGGAAAATCATGTTGGTACTACCCTAAGGTTCAACTAGCACTGTGTTCAGGGCAAGGTGGGAAATAAGGATCCAGAGCCCAGATAAGTTTAGAAGGTTCTATGCATATACCTTATAAGCCACCACCTCCAAACCATGACATGTACCAAAGAGCTTAACCAAGGCACTAAGCTTTCTGATAAAGAAATGAGGCCCATGGGAAAGGACACACACACACACACACACACACACACACACACTGCGTGCATGGCAAAACAGTCCATTACTCCGCAGGAAATGAGAGACGTTAATAGTTGAAAGAGTTAATGGACCACCTAGAGTGCCCAAGGGCTTCCCCAGCCAGACCTGTCCTATGGCATTCAGATAGGAAATCATTTTAAAGACCTGTCCGAGGCACCTCAAAGGAAGCGCTCTGACCTTTGCCTCAAGATCTACTAGACGTGGGAGTCTTCAGGTAAGTTCCTCTGGCATTTTGTTCCACTTGATAGAGAGAGCGTGCTTCTGGGACAACAGATCCCAGGTTCCCAGCATTTATTAGGCACACTACAAAGTGGGATGGGACTAGACTCCCGACATGAAAGTGGTCTTTTAAATTTTTTTTAAATCATTCCCTATAAACATATCTAGCTGAGAATGGGTCCACTGACTTTGCCCAAATGTGAAAAAGTTTCAACACAAGTATGTTTCCATCTCTGGCTTGTGGATCTGAGTGTAGACTCTTCGGGAACTTCTAGTCCTTTCCCCTGCTGATATCCTGTCAAAGCTGTCCCCTCAAACGTTAGGGGTGAAGCAGAAATACTTATGCCACATGTGCATCCCTCTCTAGTCTTTGTATCTATCTGCATGCTGAATTTATATATTATTTCTCCAACCCATCCTCATGGCCCCTGCACCTACAGTTCGTTAATACTACCCTATCTATAAATAAAAGATATTACTTTGTTCTCAACATTCCACAAGCACTTTTGGAAATCTGTTTTTAACCATTTAATTAACACTCACTGCGTTTTTAGGGGGGAAAAAATTCGGACATTTTCCCACACTTCCTTGATGTATCAAAACCCAAAGCTGGCCTTGGAAAAACTGAGAAGCCATAGACACTCACAGGTCAATGGAGATTCCTGACAAGTGGAAGGACCGCCCCGCCCCCCTGCCCTGCCAGCCCCATTTACAGACCAGATAAAAATGTATGCCTATAGATACTTATTTTTCTGAGGGTTCTATGGTGGTGGTGGCAGCGGTGGTGGGGTGTGTGTTTGATATCTGGGGGGATGCTTTTTGATATGGGTCCTGGAGCCAATTCATAGCAACATCAAGGAAAAAGATGGCGGAGGACAAAATGCAGACAGGGTCTGATGAACTGCTCCTGGTCTCGGGTTGGTAAATGCATGTGGAAGGCTGTCACATTGCATTTTGAGCGTGGCTGGAACTAGCACCACTGTTGGATAGCTCTCTTGGCCCATCATTCTTCCTTTATTAAATACCCTTAGCTCTTGTCTCTGACCTTCCATTTTCTTCCAGCTGCATTTTGGGCATGTCTTAGGGATTTTTCCCCCTCTTGGACTTACTTTATTTCTCACCTCCAACTCACAGCCCTGTTTCATTGTTATCTTATCTTTAGACAAGAGTCCAGTCCTTTCATTCCTTCCTTCTCCTGCTGCAGTGTTCCACCCTCCCTGGCTCCTCCTCCACAGCAGCAAGGTGCGTCAGGAAAGTTTTCATCTCGCAGGCCACTTTATCAACAGGAATGGAGCCCCGATCAGCTTACTCAGTGCCTGGGAAGGGCCAGGTTTCCTGGGTCTACCTGTCTCTCTCCCCTCCCTACAGACCTGCCTGTGCTCAAGGCCTCATCTTTGATTCTTTCTTATATTTTATAACCATTGTCCCTACATTTTGAATTAGGTGTGGGGGATTACATTTGAGATCATGGATTTTGTAATCAAGAGTTCCAACTACTTCTCCCTACTTTCCCAACAGCTTACCCTGGCCCATTCCTTTGATTTCTTGTTTCCCTCTTTTGGATTCTTCTCTCCCCCTTCGCCCAAGTGAATTTCTGCCAATCCTCTAGCCTATTGCTTCATGTTCTCTCCCTTGCCCTCCCCACCCCCTCGTAATTTCCAAAGTCTGTTCCCTTTGGTATGAAAGTCTCCTTCTTGTTTTAGATGAGAAAGCAGAGGCTTGCTGCAGTCAGAACGCAGGTCTCTCGGATGCTTACACTTTGTTGTTGGTTGTTGTTCTTTTGCCCTTCCTTTGTAAAAATAAAGTACCTCTGGGATGCCTTCCAGTGGCATCTTTCAGATGTGGGTGGGGACCAGGGAGCCAAGTGACAGAAAAAAGAGAAAGACATAGGAAGGCGGTTGGAGCAGACAGCAGCGCTTACACCCATGTGTCTGGGCATCTATCCTATTGGATCCTCTTTCGATTAGAAGGTTGCTTGCTTTCATTCTCTGAACTGACTGGATCCCACACACAAGGCTGGGCATGGAAGAGCGTCCTCTGAGAAGATGGTATTTCTGCCCTGTGTGTCACCCTCCTTGGCGGGTGCGCTTCAGCTATTCAGTGCAAGCTTGGCCCCTCACAGGCTTGGCTCCCTGGCTTCCCTCAGAATGGTTTTTGTCTGTTCTTGTTTCAGTTCTCATCTCAAGTGGGCAGGCTCTGTCAGCCTTTCCTGCCAAATGGAACTAGCCCAAGCAGGATGGCTGATGTAGCTAGATGACCAGAGACTGAAACGTACAGAGAGAAACTGGGTTCCAGGAGGGAGGCATAAGGTGGGGGTAGGATGTTCTGTCTCAGAGAAGGAGGAGAGAGTCCCCTTTCTAGAGTGGGGGGCCACGGGAAGCCTGTGGACAGCAGCCAAGGAGAACTGATGCTGACCTCTGAAACGGTGGAGTCAGAGCGTGCTGTTTTCCCCTGGCCTAGAGGCTGGCAACCAGGGAGGAGCTGCATGGAAGTGGTGCAGCAATGAAAGAGCTGTCTAGCAGTGACTTAGGCAAGTGAGTGTTCTTCTGGGCCCAGGTTTGCAAAGGAAGGAACAGGCCAGCCTGGCATGCGCTTTTTCTCAGCCTTTGTTGGGGAGCTGACCAGCTCAATGTTCATCCATTTAGTCCGACGCGAAAACCAAGCCTCTTGGTTGGGCTTGATGTCTTTTTTGAAATATGGCTCCCTGAAAGCAAGTCTAGTCTATTAAGAATAGACTAGAATAAGACTGTCAGAGTCCCCTGAATGACCGGACTAAGATTGCTAAAGTGCCTTTCAAAGCATTTGACAATCTGTAAGCTCGCCTGATTGACCTGATCACCCCAAGCTCTGGGGACTAGGAATGACTGGTTTACTGTGTCCACAGAGACATGCGACTCAGAGGGGCCCGGACTCGCTTAAAGGGTATAAACTCAGCTCCTCTACAATGGGTGGTGGCTTTAGGGATTCCCTTGAAGAATTCATTTCAAACTGCCCTTAAAATTAGCATATCAACCCCGGCCTCCCCCCCCCCACCACCCCCGTCCCCGGCCCTTTTAGGTTTGGTTCTCTTCTTTGTCTTCTGCAGAGGGGCCTCTCCGCAGACAAGTTGGCTACTTCTTCGTGTTTTCTTAAATTCGGAGGAACTCTTCTCCAAATGTATTTCCTCTAATTATCTTCCGCATTACTCAAATGTGTGAGAAAAACCTCCC